GGGTGGAAGAGCCAGCCAGCTAGCCAGCGGAGAACAGGCCAAAATGAATCGTCCAAAGAGGAAACCTGCCTCTCACATTTTTCCAATTCACTAGCTACGTTTTCATTACACCAGAACTCAAACTCGGCTGGCACCCTCAGCGCGCTCACAGGCTGGTGTTTTTGCCCGCTTGGTGCCTGAGGCCTAGAGTGGCCCACATGCAAGCCCTCACCGGCAGGAATTTTCTAGGGTAATGTCCTGATATTGAGGGGGGGCATTTGACCTTACTGTTCAGCCCCATTCCATATTCGCCTGCACTCCAAGAATCTACTCCCTTCGAGACTGGATTGTCTTTTTTTCCCAATCTTCTTTTGCTCTCCGCGAGCCAGAACGCCTTGGCTGAGGGCTTGCCTAGCTGGTCAGGACTCAGTTTTGGAGAAGAGTCCCAGCGTGGGTCTAGGGAAGCTGAAGGCGGCAGTCACCAGCTCCCTCCCCCACACCGGGAATCTGACCCACACTGGCCTCAGTTTTCCCACCCCATCTCCCGGTCCCTTCCCCCTCTCGCTAATTCCCAAGATCCCTGCAGAGGTCCTGGAGATCAGACCACAGCACAGGACACAAAAGGTCGAGGGTTCCTGGGAGCTTCGGGTATTCACAACCCCTAAAGGGTCCTAGCAGGGACAATGCACCGGTCCAGCCTCCCGGGCCACAAAGCGCGCACTGGCCGGCCTAGAGGGAAGGAGTAACTGGTCTCCAACAACGCCCGTACCCACCCAAGAATACCCAGAGCTTAACAGCACCACCACCGCACATCTCGGCTTGCAGTACCCACCCTGGCACGGTGCTCTTGGAAGCCTAGTTAGGCATATAGGCTGGGGGTAGGTGGGCATTTCCTCCTGTGTGGGTGGAAAGAGTTTCCACCTCCTTTCTCTCCGCTTCCTCATATTTGCTTGCTCCCTAAAATCTGAAAACCACTCGGACCCCTAAACCCGTTACTCCAGACTGGCAAGGCACTTGGTTTCCTGAAGGGACACGAGGTGCTGGGTACCTAAGGGGCGCGAGGTCTGCTGACTTCGCTGGACCACTGAAGACTGCTGCTGAGGAGCGCAGTGGGACAGGACCCAGGAGGGTAAAGGCTCAGTGAGGCTCGACCATTGAACTGCAGCGCACAGCTAGGTGTACCAAGTACGGGGCCCTGCCGATCTCGATACTGATCCCTTTTCTTTCAAGCAGTCCATCCCGGAGCGTAAAGGGCTCAGTGCAACGAAGATGCAAGAGGACCTTGGCTTTAAAAGTCAATGTTGCTGATCTAGGGTCTACCCAGAACAGGCGGGTTTTCGGAGCCAAACCGGTAGTTAGAAATGAAGGAAATAAGCCCTTGTTCAAACAGCTCTGAGTCAGAAGTTTCTCTGGCGAGTGCGCGACCGCCCCACCTGGTGGGGTGGGGGGTGTCTGATAGACAGGAGGTAGGAGAACTTGCAGGTTCCCTTTGGGGGAGGAGTGGTGGAAATTCTAGGCTGGAGGCGGGGGTTAGAGGACTCTGCTCTCTCCTGGGCCGCCCCACCTGCTTCCCTAACGCTCTGCCCCGGGGCCCACTTGGTCCTCTTAACTAGCTACCAGCTGGGATGCCCGGATGGCACAGAAGCACTCTCTGGAACCCTAGGGAGGAGAGCAAAGAGATGCCCAAAATGCGGCCAAAAGAAAACGACCCCCTCCAAACACACGCAGGCTCCCTCTGTGCTAGCTGCTCACTGACTTCATCCATCTTCTCTTTCCTCACCATACCCATCTCCATCTCTGCTCCAGAACCACCTCTCATCGTTGAGGCCGTTTTCTCCAAGTTCTGAATTGCCCAGAGGGCCGGCCTTGTGACAAGCTGAAAGGAGTACTGGAGGGGAGAAGTCCTACAGACCACAGTCCTTTTTTTCCCCTCGGGGAAGTCTTCTGGAGGTGCAGGCCCAGGATATCTGTCTCTCCCTTTTAGTCTGTGCGCCCAGAAAGAACTGCCACGGTTGGCGTTCAGCCTCAGACCCACCTGGAGATTATTTCCAAACGCACGTCTTTCTGGTTGGCCAAACCATTGACAGGTGTCCTACAGCAAGTCCCCTGAACTCGGCAAGACACCCAGGTCGTCCATCTGGGTCCCTCAACCCGTAGAAGGTTCTGTTCCGCGCCCTGTCACCATCGCGCTTGGTGATGCCCTGGGGGTATCCACTCTTGACCTCTTTCGTCCCACCCGACTCCTCTCTCCTCTGCCAGGGCCCACCCGACCGCCCCAATCACTGCCCATGACAGGACTGGCAGTTTCTGGTTACCTGCAGCTAGGCGGACGCTGGGTGCCCAAGAGAGCAAGAAGAGGTGGGGTTGTGCGCTCCGCAAGCGGCTTCGGGACACAGCTGCCGCGGCCACTGACAACAGTACCGCCATCATCACAACCAACCGCTTCCTTGCACTGGAGGCACTGACGAGCCGGGTCATCCTGCTTCTGACCACAAACTTCTCAGGCGGCGGGTGGAGACAAAGGTGCCGCGCGTCCCAGCAGCGGCGGCGCGGTGGCTCCCGCTCCAAACCCGCGGGTGCAGTTCTGCCAGGCCTCTCAGCACCACCGAGCGTGCTCCGCCCCAGCCCGGCCCCCTGGCTAGGTGCACTGGGTCCCGATGCTGCGTGGGCGGGTGCAGGGCCCAGCTCGGGACGGTCCCCGCAGGGCGGCCGGCCGCGCGCGCAGCTCCAACCAGCGCGGCCGCCGCGCCCCGCCTTATATCCGGCCCGGCGCGCACCCGGCCGGTGGCGGCGGCGGCGCGGCTCGCGGCCCAGCCACCGGTTGCTATAGCGATGTCGTCCCCCCCCCCCCACATGTTGCTGACAGCAATTGGCTAAGGGGCCGTGGCTCTCCATACACCCTCATCCACCCGAGACTATGAATGGACATAAGCTTTGTCAGTCATTTGTAAGGCGTCGGAGACAGATTCTTCTCTAGTTCTTTTAGTCTTTTAGTCTTTTCTTCCATTCCTAAGTTGCACTTCATTCTGGATAAGTTCAGAGTAGCGCTAGGGAGGAGCGAGGCCTAGCTAGAAAAGCCACCCCTCATGGCCTTACTGTGACCTTTGCATAGAAACCCTCCAAGAGAGAAACAAATTACAGTAAACTGGTAAACTGAGCCTTTTCTCCCCTTTCCAAACAAAGCATATTAATTATTTAAAAGACACCCCCATACACACACTGCACACAAGCACAGTTTCTAAGACCCAGCTGCTCATAGGAAGCAATCTGTTGCATGCATGCAGGTACTAATGAGACTTTACCACCATTCGGTCCGGGCTAACTTCTGGGCCGCTGCACTGAGCAGAAACAAAAACAAAATCGAAAAACAACCTAGCAATTTTGCTTGCATCCCTAAGCTCTTGTCCTCACCCTAGACGACCAACCTGAGGTGGGGGGCCGGAGGTATGGCTCTGAACTACCTTTCCTGTCCCCAATTCACCCCCAGTGCAGATCTGAGGCGGGAGTGGGCTGGTACCACCCAAGAGGTCTCAAGAGCCCTCCCCTGGGTTTGGACTCCACTACAGCATCGCCCCCGGAATTCTTCCTTCCCACACTCTTTCTCCTCAACCCTCACTGTATCCAGTAGCGCGGCCTCAGGTTGGGCACCCTGGTGCGCAGCGCCCTCCATAGAGCGGCCAGGAGCCGGGGAGCTGAAACCCAACATCTGTGCGTACAATGCGCTCTTCAAGGCCCACAGCTGCAGAACAAGGGGAAGAAAGGAAAGTGTGGGGGAGCAGATCCTGTCATACACAGATGACAGACTGCGGAGGGCTCTTTAGTTCCTCTTTTTCTGGAAACCCCGACGCCCTCCCCCTCCCCCCATTCCCTCTTCTGCCGCCTTCCCATTGTTCCATGCACTTGGGACAGCTGGAGACGACGGCCAGCACAACCCAACACCCCCACCCCTGTCCCTCCGCACACACGAAGGCCGCAGAGCCTTCTCCTGGACCACTGGACAAATTCACTGCCGGCCAAGAGGGAAACGATGAGAGCTAGCCCGATTTAGCCACCGGGCGAAGCCCCAGGTCTGCCTGGTGCAAAAGGAGGGAGCTCCAGCTGCCAGGCGAGGGCTGGGCTCCCCAAAAGAGGGCCCATGCTACAGAGCAAGGGATTCTATTGGTGCTGCTTCCACAGGATGGTTTCCTCTGGTTGCAGCTTAAAGTCTTTTGTTTGTTCTAATTCACAGGGAACCCTAGAGGCCTGGGATGGCTTTGTTACCTGCCCCAAACCTGTGGGTCTGAGTAGGTTGCAAAAGGCAGCTGGTGACTTCATGGGGAAGATGAGTTTGGAGGGTGGCTAAGAAGAGAAACGGATCTTCTCCCAAGAGTAACTCCCCCAATAATACAGTAGGTGGGGAGGAGTCAATCATATGGGTTATGGAGTGCACCTGTGACAGAGGATAGACCCTGCAGACACCCCTCAAAACTGGTTGTTGCTCGGTGACCCTTTCCGAGGCTCTCCACCAGGTTCTCTGTAGAGAAGTGGCTTCCCTTTGTTGTTCCACAGAAGGCCTAGGACGCCAGTTGGCTACAGGCCTGTTATGCCAAAGACCAGGATGGAGGCGGTGGTTCTTCTCAAACCCTGGTATTATCCTTAGAGCCTGTCCACTGGAGTGTCTGGTGCCTTGAGTTCCCAATAAGCCTCCCAAAAAAGCCCTGGTTCAGCGTAGAGCTGAGAAAGGGGAAAGAAGGGAAAGAGGGTCCAGCGGACTGGTGCTCTGCATGGGGAGTAGGGAGAAGACAAGACGGGAACGTGGAATCGGAGCGAGGCCCGGGGGAGGGGACCTGCCGCCCTCAGCCTCTCAGGCAACCAGGCCTCTCCATAGCAACGGCCCGCCTGTTAGCACTCCTCCTCTTCCTCTCCTCCTCCTCCCCTCCCCCCTCCTTCTCCTCCTCCTTTTCTTCTTCCACCTCCCTCTCTCCTCTCTTTCTCCTTTTTTCCCTCTCTTTCTCCCTCCCCCAACAGGACTTGGCGAATGGATCACAGAATACTGGGACCGGGAACACAGGCTTCCTCTCGGTGATGAGAGGCTCAGCCTCCTAGGTGCCTTGTGTACCCTTAGGGATGGGGGATCCACTACTCAGCAACAGTTCAAGGACGTTCCAGGTCCCAAGCTCACCCTTTGAGATGCTAAGGTACCTGGCTTTCCTATTGCAGTCACAGAGTCTTAAGGGCCGGAAGGCGCAGCGGGGAACACAGGGGCCTGGCTGCCCAGGACGAGGTGCCTGCACTAGGCGCCCCCGAGATCTGGGCGGGGCAGCGGTATCCAGGGAGCGCTGGCTGCGGTAGGAACGCTCACAGCCTCCGGGAGTTCGCGGCCCAGTGTGCTCCAGCCCCAGAGCCAGCGCGGCGAACTCAGTGAGATGCGGTGTATTGAGAAGATCCTAAAGGCCACGAGGTGCTTGGCACATCCCAAGACGCGGCTCAGCGCCATCCTACTGTCACATTCCACTTGTTTTTCTCGCCTTCAATGGTCCGGAGCCACAAGCAGGTGTGGGATACAGTACCTCTGCTCCAAGTGGCTTGGACCCCCTCGCGGCCGATTCGGACGAAGGAACCGCGGCTTGAGAGGGCCAGGACCCAGGGCATCTGCAAGCCAGAAAAAGGCGTGCTGCACACCGCCCCCACGACCCGGCAGGAAGCCTGCTTGATTTTCCATAAGCATCAAGAGACTGAAAATCCGTAAGTAGAGGCATTTGTTTTACTTTAGTTTTCCAGTGTCCCAAAGGGTTCCTGCCATGTCTGAGCACCACGCTTCGGATTTAATAGGAATCCAATGACCAATCTGCCTCTCCCCATGCTTTGAGAAAGAGATGCAATAAGATGCATTTTGGTAATCTTTTCAATAATGAAATGGGTTTAAAGCCACCGTGCAGTTGTTTTTATCTAGAAAAGTTTATTTTCTCACCGGTAACCCTTAGTGCTTCTCAGGCCTCTGGCTGCTGTTGCCTCCCTCGGAGGAGCAGGGTAGATGGGCCTGGAAGAGGAGAGCCCTAGACCCACACTCTGGCTGCAGAGGACAGGGAGCAGGTCCAGTCTGCAAGCCAGACAAACTTGCTGTCCATTCTGTAACGGACAGAGATTGTACTTCACGTGTCAACTCTTTTTGCCTAGAAACTGATAAACCAACCCAGAAGGTCATTGTTTTTCCCCTTCTTTTAAAATTCTTATTTTCAGGGCAGGGAAAGTTCATTATGAAAGTTTCTCAACAATGATAATTCAGCAATCCTCAAGAAGGATAGTGATTTTTTTTCCTAAATCACAAAACCTTAGATTGTATTTCACAATACACTTTCTTACACATGAGTTCAGTAACATTTCTAGAAAAATTTAAACACAAAATACGCATGAGACATATTGCTTGGAATCTTTTATAGATGGCAAACGGGAATATTATTTATATAGAAGTTAGGAATGGTTGGCTGATGAATAAATAAAAAATTCTAGCATATGTAAAACTCCCCAAACCTACAGAAGTTCCAAACATTATAGCTGAAAGTGACTTGTTGACCTCTGCTAATTCTTCATTAAAGCACATTTTACATTTGTCATGTGTGAAGCTAACTTGCTATGATCAGAGTCTCATTTTCAATTTAGGGACCAGAGTAGCCTTGAAGAGCACTCAGCTAAGTGATTACAGCCACTCTCCAGCACACAGACTTATTAAAGAATATGTAGTTTAAAGCAAAATAGACAAAGGCTGTTATGGGAGACATACTTGTGGCAAGACGAAACACAATCTCGGGAAGTTTAAATGGTGTGGTAAGAGTAGACAAGGATTTTAAAAGTGCTTGATTTCGGGAAACTAAACCAACTTTTTAAAAGGCAAGCACCAACATATAATTATAGGTCACATGTAGCATTTAATATACCTTTCATTTAGGAATCCATTTATAAAATGATTTCAAATTATTAATTAAAAGTGGAATCAGAGTTTTAATGATGATGATGATTATTTTGGTAGCACTTTTCTCACATCCATGAAAGAGATGTTTTTGACAAGCAGAATGTCTGGCTGGGTCAGCTTACCAGGAGGCCATGGCGCTGAGCGCCCTCTGAACTCAGCCTGGAGACCTCCACCTTCACCCTGGTTCTCTGAGGTTTTTTTTTGTTTTTGTTTTCATTTGTCAAAGGTCATCTTTGGGAGATCAGCAAATCAGTCTACGGTGCCTCAAGGGCCAGCCACCCAGCCTTGCAGACTGCTAACAAACTTCACCCCACAGGCACGGTCAGGTCAAGAGCAGGTGTCTCCTGGGGATGGAGGGCAGAGGGCTGCTTTGTCATTTGAGGAGCTGTTAGGTGTGTGTGACCTCACTTTAAAATCGGGAGGAACTGAGACATCCTAAAATTATTCACTCACATATTTTACTTGAATTAAGGGAAAAATAAATACTTCTTTAATCAAAACACACATACACAAAAGAAATCTTTTTTTTGGGGGGGGGGGCGGGATGAGAAGGAGAGGGAATTGCCAGCACAGCTCAGCTTTTGTTATTAGTTCTAGCATTGGCCCATCTTCTCATTGGTCTAATGTTTTGTAATTGGGAAAAATAGGCACTGCACTATGGAATAAGGTCCACATTTTCTCAGTCACTTAGCATAAAAATGAAGAAGTTCTGTCTGGACAGATGACTCAGTGGGTAAAGGTGTTTGCTGTGGAACATGGTGGAAGGAGAGAACCATCCCCTACAAGCTGTTCTCTGCAGTGTGGCAGGTACACACTCATTTCCCCAACAAGTGAGTGTAAAAATTACTTAAATAAAAAGTGTGTTTCAGCCAAAAATTTATGGTTGATAGATTGGTTAGCAAATATGTGGTGATTTTGTAGACTTTTCTTTCCAGAAACTTTGAAATTATAATTCAAAGGACATGACAAGCCCCAGGCCTCTGTTGTTGATGTTTTAGTTTTCCTCATTACAGGCAGTGTTCTAAAGGACATGGCTCTTGGGGCAGTCATTTACAAACAGAATACTACTCCTGGAGGCCCCTCTGCTCTCATTCTCAGATTCCAGGAAGCCTACAAGATGAATGACTGCTCCCCTCGTTGGGAAGATGTAGGTATTTATTATTTGCACATAATACTGCAAGTGCATATCTATTGGTTGGTATTTAGGACAGTGTGTCTATTGTGTGCTCATGAGTAGATTTTTAGTGCTCACAAATTTGGGCTAAAATTCTTTTGACTGAACCTTTATAAGAACTGGAACAGAGATCTAACTTTTGTGAAAGTTGCTACGTAATATCATTGTGCCCCAGGACATGAGAACAAGGTGCTTCTGTGGGGCATCTCAGGGCATCGCTATTTCCCGCTAAACCTCTTTCGTGCGTCTTCTCAGGTGCGGACCACAGGTCTGTTATAATCGTTTGGAAACAGGTCCTTCCTGAGATTGCTTTGGAATTGGAAGTGGAACATTGAGGTAAATGTTTGTTTTACAGTATGTGATTCTGCAATGCACTGTTCATGTATCCTTTAAGAGAAATAAATATGTGTATCTTAATGTAGGGAAATAGGCTCCAGTTGACTGTATGCATGGCCACAGTCCAGCAAGCTCGCCTTCCTGTGGGGAGTCTACAAAGTGGCTGTCCTGGTATTATATTGCAGGTAAGTTTACAAATATTTAGATCGAATGATAATAAAAATTGGTTGTGGTGGTGACACCTGGGTGCTTCTCTGACAAAATGGAAAAGTCTCAGGCTTAGCTGTCACTTTGAAATTTTTAGTGAAAGTCATTTCAAAACTCCATAAAAATCCACAAAGTTACTTGATATAATAGTGAATTGAATAACAGTTTTAAACTCCATCAGCTTTCCTTCATGGACACAACATGATTTGGTGGAGTTTCAGGAGGGGTGGTTCACACTGACACAGGGCTCTGGGGACATTTTCACATCTGTCCTCTATCATCTGTAGCAAGTTATACCCCTATTCAGCATTTCTCAGTTCTTCTGAAATTCCCATTTAGATTTACCTTCAGACATCTAATTTAATATTTTAAAACTATTTTTCACTTCTGACTGCCCCAAATTCTATGGCCTAATCACCTGTTTCTCTGTCCTTATCTCCAGTGACTTTTGACTATTTAAAAGATAGAGCTTTTAAGAAAGGTTGTTTCTTACCATTATTTTAATACGCCTTTTCAGAAGGTTCATGCCGAGTAGGCATGCCTAACGCCATTAGGAAGTGACTCGCTCTTCTGTGCATCAGCTGTGGAAAAAGACCCTCACCTGCTGTCCAAGCATGGTCACAGTTCTCCTTTGTCTTCTCCATGATCCAGAGTGGTACCCAGCTGACCTTACTTCTCATCCCTTTTAGGATGAAGGTGTCAGTCTAGGCGGTCCAGATCCACCCCCACTGCTCTCCACCTAGTGGTCTCCCCAGTCCATCTGACTAGCTCCTGTCTCTCAGTAAGACCTCCACTGTCTCTTCTTCATACCTAGCAGGTTAGCTCTTTTCATCCAAGCAACTAGGTAACATAGTCGAGACCTGGACCAACTACGTCAACTGCTCTTTGCACAAGAACACGTGGAAGCTGGAAACAGGATTCCACCTGCAGCCATTCTCTCTTCCCCAAGACTCTGGCCAATGGGACTGCGGCCTGCAGCAGTTCTTCACCAGCTTGGCATCTAGTGTGGAAAAACTGGCTTTATTAAAATTATATAGACCTGTCATCATTTTACACACATGTCTGTGGTTTCACTTTCTGTGTTTTGTTAGCTACAGTAAGTTGTAGACCAGAAATATCAAATGGAAGATTCCAGAAATAAAAACACATGCCATCCTATACTGTACTGTCCTCCTTAGGGTTCAGCCCTCCGTCCAGTGTATCGAAGCTGTATACACTACTCTCCAGCAGCCACTTAGCTATTTCAGGTAATGTATAGTGCTTGCATTCAAACCTTATTTTCCTTAATAACAGCCCAAAGCACAATGCTGGCAATTTAGACATGTCAAAGAAAAAGCTATAAAATGCTTCTTTCAAGTGAAAAGCTGCAAAACTGAAAGTTCTTAATTTATTAAGGAAGGAAATATTGTATACTGTGGTTGCTAAGATCTACGGTAAGAACACGGTACAGTATGCACCAGGGTTCTGCACTGTCCCTGGCTGAGGTGTCCACTGAAGACACTAGAAGATGTCCTCAGTAGATACGGGAGCTGTGGTGTATAGACTATCTCACCCTCACACACACACAATATGCCCACACTAAGCCATACACGAGGCACCTCACACATTCACATGCTCACACACATGTACAATATGCTCACACTAAGCTACATACAAACCACTCAACACACACATAGCTTACACGTGTGCTTATACAACATGTATACCACCTCACGTGCACACCACCCTATATAGCTCACACATATGCTCACATTAACCCCCAGACAACCACCCCACTTGCTACACACATGCACACTACTTTACACAATAGTGGTACTAATCCCCTGCCTCACATACATGCACATGCAGCTCACATGCACACAAAAACCCATATGCATACTAACTCATATCCATGCTCATGCAGCTCATATGCATGTTCACACTTTTCACATACATGCACATAACTAACACGTCATATTAACTCATCCACTCTCTCTCACATGTATTCTCCCACTGTCCACATACATACATGGTACCTCACATGCCTGTTTATACAGCTCACAGATGCATGCATAGCATAAGACTTACATATACACATATATATTAACAATAACACATGGGCTGACTACCTCACATATATGCACACATTCATACACTTTCATATATACTCACACAGTTTACTCATAATCTTACACAGTAACACTCATACATGTTCTTCAGTCATGTATAAATAAGTGGGTACTGACTTGTATCTCCTTAGCTGCTATTCTAGATTTCATTTTTCTCTCTCCCAAGAGCCATGTGATTTGTGCATTTCTCTTCCAGTTTATGGATGAGGAGACCAGACTGCTATGAAATAAATGAAAACTTGCAAATGGATAAGCACTAGATCCTTGGTTAACACACACTCTCACCACACACATTTCCCAGGGAAGATCTTTGCTTTAACCGTATTCTCCAACCAGCACCAGGTGAGTGGTGTGGAGCTCCGAGGAAGGCCAGGGGCTCCTTGGCCTCCACTGGATCCTGCAAGTCTCTCCTCACTGTACAATAACAGCTGTTATTGGAGAAATAATTCAATAGTCACAGCTGTCAGTGAATAAAACAACTCTCTTCCTAATCTGTGTGATGTGTTGTGGGCTTTTATGAATGAGGCTTCTCTGATGTTCACATTGACCAAAAGCATCAGCCATCTGTCTTTCCATAGCCTCATTACCATGGCTCCTTCTCTGTGTGTGGTGCTGGAGCACACCCTCCCTCATTACCATGGCTCCATCTCTCTGTGTGTGGTTCTGGAGCACACCCTCATTACCATGGCTCCATCATCTCCCTGTGCGTGGTTCTGGAGCACACCCTCATTACCATGGCTCCATCATCTCCCTGTGCGTGGTTCTGGAGTACACCCTCATTACCATGGCTCCATCATCTCCCTGTGCGTGGTTCTGGAGTACACCCTCATTACCATGGCTCCATCATCTCCCTGTGTGTGGTTCTGGAGCACACCCTCATTACCATGGCTCCATCATCTCCCTGTGTGTGGTTCTGGAGCACACCCTCATTACCATGGCTCCATCATCTCCCTGTGTGTGGTTCTGGAGCACACCCTCATTACCATGGCTCCATCATCTCCCTGTGTGTGGTTCTGGAGCACATCCTCATTACCATGGCTCCATCATCTCTCTGTGCATGGTTCTGGAGCACACCCTCACTACCATGGCTCCATCTCTCTGTGTGTGGTTCTGGAGCACACCCTCATTACCATGGCTCCATCATCTCTCTGTGTGTGGTTCTGGAGCACACAGTGCACATTTTGTACTGTGTTCTGGTGTAGGTTTTATGTGAGAAAGTCCTAGTTCTGGGATTGGCCACATAGTAACAAGGAATGATGGCTTAGCCGGGAGGTGACAGCATGTTAGAAAGGTGCTGTGGCCTGTGGCGTGTGTCTCTTGTAGCAAAAAGACCTCATGGTGCACGCATGTGGTCTGCAGGTCCTGCACTGTTTATTTTGTCCATCTGGCAAGGGAATGGCTAACCCTTGGTGAGATATCAAGGTTGCTGTTCCCGCCCAGTTGTTAGCATGTGCTGGATAATAACACTTGCTGGGAAAATAGGCACTCAATCAGCCCAATATTTCAACATTTTTTTTGATTCTCAATTATCCATGGTTTTGATTTTTGTTGAATTAATTCCACCACAAACACAAACAGAAACTCATGGGTGTTCCACCCAGTATCCACACTGAACAGTGGTAGCTCTGCTGAAACTGAATTGCCTCTCCATCTCTTGGTCCAGGAGAGCAAGAGCGTAGAGTGTCTAGAAATTTTGGAGCTTCTCTCAGGCCTCAAGTTGCCTGCCAACATGACCATTTCCAAGTTGTTGCCATTTTGAGACATGTTGGTCTCAGGAGAAAGCTGAAGATAGAATAACTTGTGGGAAACCATACAAGCTTTTTTTTTTTTTTTTGGTGACAGGGTTGTATCTCAAGCTCGTCTTCAGCCTCCCAACAGACATGCACTACTATGCTCTTCATAGAAACCATAAGTTAAAGTATAGTGGAGTAAAAGGATCATAACTACATTATAAAAGTAGAGAAGGATGCATTAGGAAGTGTTACTAAAACTAGCCTGTGGCAAAGCCATCAGAACTTGATTGTTGGTCCTGAGATGTTACTGTGTGGCAGCCAATCCTCAACTCCTGGGGCCGGAGTTTAGGAAGTATGATAGAAATCACTTTCAGGATGAGATGAGAAGACCCTTGCTGTCTCTCCAACTGTGAATAAAGCCAGCTGCCAGGTATGAACTATTGAAGAAAGGCTCATGGAGCCACAGCCGGGGTCTACAACTTTCACGATTGAGGTTTGGGACAGATCCTCTACCCAGTGAGCTCTGAGATGATACTGGCAGCTAGAAGCCATCATGGTGGTCTCCAGACCCATGGCCCACCGCGACTGTTAGATAAAAAGCACGGCTTTAAGTAGTTGATTTTGGAAAAGACTTGTTACCCAGCAAAGCATAACCAGCAGACCTAGGGGTGAACATAAACAAGCTGGTGTATGAGAACCACTTTGGGACCTCACGCCAGTTAATGAAAACCTGGTGCAACGGAGGGTGAGTCCAGATCCTATGCAGGATAATCCTGCAGAACTGCTATGCCCACGCAAACCAGGGCTCTCCAGCATGACTTTGTTCTCTGCTTACATGTCATGCCTCTGCCCAAGAGCACCCACCCCTGACCCCATTCAGGTGGCGGATTTCTGTTGGTCTTGTCTGCTTTCTTCTCTTTTAAAAAATATTATTATTATCATTGTTGCTGTTGTTGTTGGTGTGTGTGTGTGTGTGTGTGTGTGTGTGTGTGTGTGAAAATGAATGCCAGGTGAGAGTACCAGATGCCCTGGAGCTGGAGATACACATGAGTATGAGCTCCCAGATATGCATTTGGGCACCATATATGGGTCCTCTGGAAGAACAAGTGCTCCTAACACCAAGTCATCTCTCCAGCCCCCCAAATGACTTTTCTTAAAAACAAAAGTTTTTCTGAGTCAGGGTCTCGTGTATTACAGACTGGCCTCAAACTTACTAAGCAGCTGAGGATGACCTTGAACTTTTGACCCACAGTTCTGGAACTGCAGGTGTGTGCCTTTACCCTGGGATCATGTGATTCTGAAGGTCAAACCCAGGGTTCACACATGCTAGGCATGTGCTCTTCCAACTGCCCCACAAATGAACTTTTTAAAAAGATTTTGCTACATTCTCTGTGTGTGTGCGCACACGCACGTGTATATGACTGTGCATGTGTGCTCATGGTTGTGCACATGCAGAATGAAACACCCATGCATGTTAAAGCATGCCATGCAGAGTTCTTGACTTTGACCATGCAGATTCAGGGGACTGAACACAGTTGCCATGTTTAGTGGAAAACATCTTTACCACTGAGAAATTTTGCCTTCCCTGACCTTTCTTTTTCTCTGTAATATTACTTGAATGCAGCAGGCATTACAAACTCTCCCAAGAAAGTCAGCTCTACCCTGTATGCCCATGGTTGCTTGCTCCTAAATGCAAAATCAACACTCTGTGTTCCTTGATGACCTTACCGCCCATTCACCCTCTTGTTTCCGCTTTTTTTCTCATTCCTTGCTTTCCCCTGCAGATTGTCACAACTAGTCCATGCCCCATCCACGCAGTGGTACACACTGCTTTCTGTAGTGACTCACCTTAATTCCCTTCTTCTGGCTCCCCTGTGTACTGAACTGCAGCCCTTCCCAACCTTCTGCATGGCCTCTATGGTTGGCCATAGTGTTGTAGGGTGAACATCTATTCCACAGCCCCTAAAGATGCAGTAGATGGAGATAGAAAGAAGCAGCTGCCTGGGCTGTGAGCCAAGAGGATATTAACCATCTCTTCATTCCCGTCTGAAATTGCTATCACTGGACATGCCTTATGCATGCTCAAACTTTTGTAAAACCACATAAAGCATCCTCAGAAGCAGTTCTAGGCCTGTACACATTTTTAAGGCAATTTACTGTTGCAAATTTAAGCTTCATCTATGCCGGTAGCACATGATTGACAATTCTCTCTGTGGGACTTTGAGTTCATAAACTAAAAAATGTAACATTCTTACCTACAGGTGTATGATTTCCTTATCCTTTATATGGACAGAGCATGGGTCATAGTCACAATTTAATAACAACCCAAGCAGGGCTCAATAAAAGTCACCATCAGGAGCTGGAAATGTTCTTCCATTTATTTCTCTGCTAGAGCTTG